TTCATAGAGAGCATGTGACCCTGCTGCCTCAGCACTACATTACAGAGAGAGTCTGTATTCCCAAAAGCTGCACACAGTGTCGCACTGCCTTCCAGCCCAGACTGAAGACTGGCACAGGCTTTCCAAGTTGGCTTGCTGAATAGTGATCATTCTGAATAGAATTACCTTCTGTAATTAGCTGAACCTGGAGCTCCCTCAGTATTAGTGGTCCTATTCAGATTTCCCTCACAGTAATATAATAACCAGACCTGCTGATAGACACGGTCAGGCGCCATGTTGTTAGTGCTACATAAAAATGACATGACCAGGTTGTCTGTGTTGATTGGACAGAGACTTTATCCCATGCCACTCTGCACGTCAACTCCCTTATAAATTACATTACACAACCAGCCTGGGTCACACAAGTCCTGCTTGAATAGTGCTTAAATTTTTCCACCCCACTCAGTCCCACTCAGCACTCAGGAAACCACACCAGACCTCAGTCTCAGAAACAGAGGACTTCTTTGCCACCAAATTTAGAGTTGCAGATGGCTGTGCTACAGAGGTCAAGCATTCAGGCATTTTTTCCTCCTTCGATGAAGGACTAGAAACAACATATCCGTGATGTGTCAAAACTGATGGAGTATTTCAGCACCCTTATCTGTGGGTGAGCAGGGTTCATATATCCAGTATGCTCTCTCATGAGGGAAACCCTTGAGCATATGCTTCTACGCTTTGGGATGCTACCTTGAAGCCCATGAGATATAGTACACACACACACACACTGCTGAAGAATACGTCTCTCTCCCTGATTTATGATGGTGTTATGTTTTTAAAAAACACTTCTAATAAACTGAGAAGACTCAGTTTCATCAGATTTGTTGGTTCATTTATTGATTGATTCATTAATTCAGCTAGCTAGCTAGCTAAATAAAGCTAATTAGTTTGTTAAGACTCTGTTCACACCTGGTTGTTTCATGTAACCTGGTGAGACTTAATTTGGTCAAGAGTCCATTTGTTTGTTTTCTGTGGCATTCAAGGTTCTCTCAAAAGTCTTTGCCAGCACATTATTGTCCAGCTTTCAGTCAGACTGATATTCAGTTGCTGTGTGGTACCTAATGCGCATGTCAGCTCATATACAACAACCAATCCCCTGTGACGTTTCTCATTTTTCCTTTTCTATTTGAAAATTATAATTTTCCATGGTGTTACTCATTTGCTTACACTGACTTTACGCTGTTTTTTCAAAAAGATGACTATTTGTCTAAACTCTTGTATTATTTATCACGGTCATGGACACCTGCGTTAAAACCTAATGTATTGTAGCAAGACAGTGAAGGATGATGATGAGAAGTAAGGGTTAACCAAACTGGCACTTAATTTTAACTAGCTCGGGCCACTGAAGGCTACTGAGTTAAACTCAGAGGAGAAATTCAAGAGGTAAACTTAAGGGAAGGAGCATTGACACCTTTTTAATGGTGGCAGTGCAGAGGATGTCTAACCCCCCTATGGCGAACAGCGGAGTGTGGCTCTGTCACTGTACTAGGAGGGGTATTGGTTGTCGAATGTGGGTTGAAAAGACATACGCATTTAAACTTGTATAACATCTGGTTCAAAATGCCAAATATGGTTTGAGCGATTGTAAATGGATCTGTTTTAAATGTGTCTTGGATGCATTTACACCTGCATTTTAATGTGGGTAATCTCTATCTGCTTGTAATTCTGACATTCAAGACACATGAAATGATCAGGTGTAAACAATCAAGAGAAAAAATGACACATAGAAGGAAAAAAATAAAATTAAAGGTATAAAAAGAGATGTGAATACATACATACAGGCCAAAATGAGAAGACATGTAATTCCATATAATTACTAGTGCTGGGTGATATATTTTCCATACCAGTATACGAGGATTGGTTTCACACAGCAGCATTCATTTCTAATTTTAGTTGATGGATAACAAAAGCTTAAGTGCAAAGTATGTCTGCAATGCATTTCAATCGCTAAGTGCTTCAGTTCTTTTGATTTTGAGAAAGCAGTTAATTATTCGTCCTTCTGGAAATGTGGTTTCTGTTTGGTTAATGCTTACATTACTGTATAAGATTCCTTTTGATGCGAGTTTAAGACTTTAGGAGCAGAACAAAACAAAATAGTCCAGCCAAACAAGGTAAATCAGGTTTTGTCAGATCAAATTTTAGTGTATAATTTCTAGTTATTTACTGAGTTTAATGTACAGGAAAAAATAAAAGAGTATAAATATATATCTTTTGCACAGGCCACATTTCATATTTGATTAAGTGTGTTGTCTGTAGAGGATGTGTTCACTTATTTTCACTTAATAAATCAACGAAACGTGTAATTTACTCAGAGGCACCCGAACCTTTCTGTATGACTGTGTGAGAGTGTTGGTGAAGGGCTGCGTTAGACTGCTGAAGGAGTATGAGTAATGGAGCAGGACCTTGCCACCTGCACTTGCTTCCTGTCAGCAAAAGTAAGGTCGTATAGAGAGGACGACAGTGACAGACAGTGATACACTCTCTGTGAGGCAATAGACACGCTGTCCCTGCTCTTGGCCTGCTGCCAGGAACTCCTGTCCTCTTAGTCCTCTCTGAGGGGCTATGGAGAGATGTGTGTGTGTGTGTGTGTGTGTGTGTGTGTGTGTGCGAGCGTGGACAGAATGACTGATGACGTCCAGAAGAAATCCAATACCATTAAGGATCCGAGGGAAAATGTCTCTCCCCCAGTGCTTTGAGAGGGGGTTCAATTTTTCCATCCTCAGCAGATATCCAGGGCTTGCAGGCTCTGTGTTTATTGCAAGGTAGAGTCTGTCTTAAGTTATTCAGCTCTGAATATGTTTATGATGTTTGTGCACATCTCATTGAACAGTTCTGTACTCTGGGTCAGCAGCCTCCAAATACGTGTGTGAACTAAAATGCTTAGCATCATAAAACGTGACTCGGCACACCTTTTTTATTATTTTCTCCTCAAATTAAACTGAGCATGACACCAGTACTTAATAGCCATCTGTGCCTCAGTGTCATGAGTGCATCTAATTAATAAGTGGAACTGTATTTATAAATGTATCACTGTTCATCCTGTACAGCTCCATCTTACAAGATGCCGTACTATGAAATTGTCATGGCAGAAATTGTGTAACTCTGAGTTGTCTGAGAGTATTTTTGGATAATATTAGTGCTGTTGTGACTACTCAATTAAATTCAGTTATTTGATTTAAATTGCATCAATTAAAATTTACCTTTGCAATAAATCAGCAATAATTATATGCCTGATGAAAATGCATATAGAGTAGCACAAAGTATCAAAAGTTCATTACCTTTTCAGTGGAGCAGGTTTGCAAACAGTTCAATACCCTTAAGTTCAGCACCTTCAGTACTTTCAGTTATTTATTTCGAAGAGTTTTCGACTGAGTAAAAAGGTCATTGAAGTAAAAAAAAACATGATGGAAGAACATTTTTCTCTGAATCCAATAAACATTTGTTGTTCAGACAGTGTGAGTGTTGTTAACTTTTTGCATTGTGATACTGCATATATTATAGTTTTCAAAATAAAAATTATGGTATCATGACAATGCTACATTTTTCATATCATATATACATATCATATATTATATATATATTATACGAAAATAGCTAATAACTTATACATTATGGATTTAAATATTACAAACTGTACACCAAAAGTTAATTTAGATATTTTATTCTAACGTTTTAAAGTCATTAAATGATAAGTAACATACTGTGAGTATCTATGTATATTAATTTTACAGTTTTCTGCCTTGAGATTTGATCCCAACTTTTAAAATATAATGAATTCAGAATATTAGTTTAACTTTGTTTAAAGTATTATTTAAATGTCTTGTTATACAGCATTCTCTTCATCTGCAGCGAGACTAACAAATTAGAATCATATTTATAAATTTATCTGCATCCAGATTGTTGGAAAACGGTATTGAAAACAATTGGCCTCATTCAGCAATATCTTTAAACTTTCCATAAAGTTTTTTCTTAAATGTGTTCTTGAGAAAGGTCCTAAGAAAAAGTCTATGTCAGATTCATGACGTGTTCTTAAAGCGCAGAACTGTTCTCACCTTTGTGCTCCTGAGTTTGTAGATTCTGTTCTTACCTAAGAACAAATCCCAAATAAGAAAACACTGGTGAATGTCAGAATCTTCGTAAAACGTGGGTGTTAAGAAAAAAATTCTTCTTAAGAAGAGTCTGAGAAAGAGGCCCATTAATTCCAAAATTTTGAGAAGTGATTTGAAACTTCTGAATGATCCTAGTGGTCTTTTTGATATATGCATTTTTTGTCACCTACTTTTTTTAAGAAATATTTTAAAAAGCTTCTTTTGCTAAAATCTTTTTCCAATAACATATTTAGATTTTTTTTAAACATGCAAGTCTTTTTATTGTTCAGTTGTCCGTTATTGCTTGATATTTTTTTAGAACTTTGATTCTTCGTCACAAAAATTGGTAGATGATCCTTTACTAATAAAATCAGTGACAGCCCTACAGTGGTGCACTCTAATGAGTGTATTTAGACATTCTTTCCTCTTTTTCTTGGGTAATGCAAGCATGTGTGTGTCTGTGTACTGACTGTCAGGAATTCAGCTAAAGGTTGATAAGTCTGTCTGTCACTGCATCTTGCCCAAGTCCTTTATTCAGAATCAGATAATAAACAAATCTGCCACATCACATCCCCATCTCAGATGTTCACAACCATTTTCTGTACTGTGATTGGTTAAATGGCAGCGGTAGAACTGCTGAACTCAACTCAGTCTCTTTATGCTTCAGAAGTGCCTTTCAGCCGTCTCATGGGCGTGTAAACCTGTAAAACATTGATCTGTTATAAAATGCAGGAACTGTACTAACTCACCAAGTGAGCCCTTCAAAACAGGTTCATCCATATCATTTATTTTGGTGTGTTATCGGGTGTAATATTAGACCGAGAAAAGGGTAGTCATGTTGTAATCATGTTTCAACTGTCACTTCTCTTTTCTTAGGGTTCAACTGATAGATGATCTGTCTTACGAGGATGTAAAGAAATGTTACAGGGGCTCGGTGAGTATCACACATCAAGTGTAAATTATGAACCTGTAGCTAGAAAATGTTTACCTGTTGATCAGGAAAATATGTTGAAAGTTTATGCCATCAGAAGTGCAATTTATAAATTATAAGAACTGCAATATTTACCATAATATATATGATCAACAACGTTGTCATAACAAGCTTTAAGTAAGAAAATATAACTTAATTTAACCCTGGAGTTTGTGAACTGCCTATAGATGAGTTAGACCAATCAGAAGCAACCAAACACCCATGTGCTGTGACGTCACCACCACGACTAACTGGCAGTCTGGCACACTATGTTCAGATGGTGTTCAGCTGGATATGCTGGTCTTCTTGCCAAAAAACAGGCCTCATTTTATAGAAAATAATTTAACTAGCAGTCACAGTGTTAGATATTTTGCCCAAATTGTTCAGCCGTAAGTAGGCCTGCCCAAAGTTGGCCTGTGAGGACGTTCGATTTAGCCTGTGTTCATAACATTTTATATATATATATATATATATATATATATATATATATATATATATATTGTTGTCGGAAGAAAACCTTGCATCGCCATTCTTGTTGTTTTTCTGTTTTTTGTCATCATTTGAAAATGCCTGTTGCCTTTATGTGTATATATATATATATATATATATACATATGTGTGTGTGTGTGTGTATATGTATATATATATATATATATATATATATATAAAATCAGTTTAATCATATATATATATTTACACGTGTGTACATATATATATATATATATATATATATATATATATATATATATATATATATATATATATATATATATATATATATAAGTGATTAAACAGATTTTTATTTTCTTATTAAAATTGTATTTATGAAGCATTTTGGTAACAAAACATAGTGGAATGTTGGAAAATACATTTCCTCAATTTGAACCCAACATACCCTCTTTATTTGTATATTGTTTTGTCTTTTTGGACCTCAACCTACTGCAAAAATAGCATTTTGCCCCAACCCAACAAAACAAAAAAAAAGTTTATGTCAGCCGACTAATTATTATTGAAGATCATATGAATTTGAGTCATGAGAAGGAGGGTGATTCACTGGGCCTGCTGTTGCACAGTAGTGTGCTCAGGAAACAATTAAAACATGGGTCAAGGCCAGGGAGAAAAAAGTGTTGTAAGACCTCTAACCTAAAATGTGAAATTGACCTTGATGATTACCACTCGTAAAGCTGTGGTATACATAAAATATGGAAAAGTCGCACATCAGTTGAGCAACAGCAGGGTTAATCATTAACAGAGCACCCTGCCGGCTGGCTCAGCCCATTTAGATTATGAATATTGTTGAAAAAAGCAGTAGTGCGCATCACTAGAGTGTGAGGCAGCAGGAAGCACTAGTGTGAGCCTTGGTGTGGGTAGTGTGCAAGCTTGCAAGCTTTTTTTTTTCCGCTAAGGTGCAGTGGGAGGCTGCAGCAGGTCTGTAGCAGACCAGGAAAGAGAGAGAGAGAGAGAGAGAGAGAGAGAGAGTTGTTGAAGTGACTCTTGTGAAACCAAAGTAAGAGAAGACGGGATTGGTTCACAGCAACAAAAAGAGAGCGCGGTTGGGCCTGAGACAGAGCAGAGAGATACCGATTACCTGTAACAGTCTGACACACGCACACACACTCGAGAGAGGATCGGCTCGGGGCGTGTGGAGCGTTAGTGTTGTGTCAGCATGCTGAGTTTGGTGCAGAGCTCGCGTCCTCTCCGAGAGAAAAGCAGGCTGCAGGGGAACTGTGGGCAGGAGCTCATCTCTCTACCTTCTACTACTTCCTCTTCACAGACCGTCAGCAAGTACAACTCGCAGTACCACAAACTATTTCAGAATGTGCCCAAAGAGGAGATCCTCATGAAGGGTAAGTTGTCGGTTTGTTCAATGACGCAATTTTCATTCTCTTCATTTTTGTAAGAAATGGTAACGTTTTAGGAGAAGATAGAAACATTCTTAACTTTAATGTATGTTAATGTACGGAGTGCAAAGAGCAGCTGCCATTTTCACATGCAGGTTTGCTATGACAGCAGTATTATGTTTATTATTTACTTGTTTTAGCTAATATAGGAGTATATATGAAAGTAGTATGATATGAAAGTAACATTAAATTTGGTGTTCAGCTCTGCTAGCCAAAGTAAGAGTATGTGTGTATATATATATATATATATATATATATATATATATATATACTAGGTAACTTTATAGGAGGAGGCAAAAACATTCATACACATTCTTAATTCTAATGTATGTTTATGTAAAAAGAACAAAAATGTTCTTCCATGTACGAGGGCCATTTCTATTGGTCAGTTCATTCATGTTGAATGTTCACGCAATGTAAAGGTCAGCTGAAAATGTTGAAGATGTTGATATTGCAGGAACATTGTTTGCTGTTCAACTTTTTTAACTAATATAGGAGAATTTGCTTTTGTTATTTCTATTAGGAGCTCAAAAGCATTTGTCTTAACAAATGGTAACTTTATAGGAAGAGGCAAAAACATCCATACACCTTCTCAATTTTAGTGTATGTTAATGTAATGCGAGTCATTTTGAGCCATTTCTATCAGACCATTCATCGTTAAATGTTCACGCAAAGTAAAGTACAGATTGTATTCTCAAATGGAGGTTTGATATGACGTCAACATTGTGTTTGTTGTTTAGTTGTTTTAATCAGTGTAGGAGTATATTTCAGTTTTTTGTGGTACTGTTTTTGGTTGTATGCTGTTTTTAGGCATTAAAACACTACACATAAGGCTCAAAACAGCACTTAAAGTTCCTCAGACCAGGCTGTAGACAACCAATGTAACCAAAGCCACTACTGCAATGTTAAGAAGTATGTGAATAATGTAGCCAGCAGGCCTCTGGTATTTCTTTTGTTTATTTTTGATAACGTCTCACTGTTCAGCTTGACTCTCATATAATAGTTAAGATGCTTAACTATATCGAAGAGCTAGATCTGATGTTTTGAAAGCTGATCTCACTCCACCACAAATGTTTCACCCAAGGCTATGAGCAGCAGCTGAGGTTATTCTCATAACTCTCACTTGAACGTTTTACTTGATGTCATGTGCTTTGATCACTTGCTAAGCGCCCTCCTTCTGCTTTCTGTCTTTCAGTGTACTCCTGCGCTTTGCTGCGCGACATCCTCCTGCAAGGCCGACTCTACATCTCCAGAAACTGGCTATGCTTCTATGCCAACCTCTTTGGCAAGGACATTAAGGTGGGAGATAGAGCTCTAGCTGGCGATAGTGCTGTAAACTTGCAGAACACCACAATATCACATCATTTTGCCACTTCCTCTGGCCGACAATGAGCGAGGCCCAACAAACTTGCATGGTTTATAGTTGAATTGAAAGGTTTAGGACTTATAAAGCAGAAAAATGGTGCGGCACTCGCTTAACAGCTGTTCAAAACACTGTTGATTGCGGCATTGTAATATTTTTATATGGAGCAAGTGCTGCACCTTTTTACTGCTTTATGATTCATGTATTTTTGAAGGCAGCGCCTCGACTTTGAGCCCAACTTTCACCTCTTTTAAATGATTATAATTTAAGATGCTCTTAAAAGGGGTGTTTTAGATTAACGTTGGCCTCGGGCCATACCTTTTTGTTTTGCTGTGTTGAACACCGGTAATGCTATATGACCCTTTTGTATTACAATTAGAGGTAGCTGGACAGGATTACATTACAGTGGACAAGTGATTGTTCCATGTTATTTTTTTCTTGTGCTAATCCCTCTCTAAATGTGAGATGTGGTATGATTGAGTCGTGTAAGGATCGATTAGCAAGCACGCACTCTGTAACCTGATACTTCTGCCCTTGTACCTTCTCTTCTCTTCTCTTCTCTTCTCTTCTCTTCTCTTCTCTTCTCTTCTCTTCTCTTCTCTACCCCTTATCTACCCCTTATCTATCTCCTTTCTCTTTTGTGCAGGTACATTTTAATTTGTCAAGGTATAAACAATGCAAATGTACCCTCAAAGGTACAACCATGATTTTAAGGTACAATTGTGTACCTTCAGTTTTAGTTCCCAGGGGAAAGGTATGCATTTATACCTTTTCGTGGCCTAATATTTGAAAACAGAGCAATATAATTTAATATCTGGGAACAAGACAGGGTGTGTGAACTCAATACAGCTTAAAAAAAATATAAATTTAGAAGAATATGGTGCAAATATGTTCCCTGATTAAAGGTACTGAAGATATAGCCTTGAGGGTACCACCCCAGTGACAAGAGGGGTACTGGCCCAGTGACAGTTTATTACCTTTTTTTCTGAGAATTCTCTTCTCCTATACCTCCTTTCTCTTCTCTTCTCTTCTCTTCTCTTCTCTTCTCTTCTCTTCTCTTCTCTTCACGTCTCTTCTCTTCTCTTCACGTTTCTTGACGTCTCTTCTCTTCTCTTCTCTACCACTTTTCTCTTCTGTGCAGGTACATTTTTCATTCATCAAGGTACAAACAATGTAAATGCACCTTCTAAGGTGCAACACTGATTTTAAGGCCCAATTGTGCACCTTAAATTTTTGTTCCTAGGGGAAATGTATGCATTTATACCTTTTTATAGTCTAATGTTTAAAAACAGAACGATAAAATGAAAAATATAAAAAATATATGGAGGCAAGGTGGGGTGTGTGAATTCAATACAGCTTAAAAAATATAAATTCAGAAGAATATGGTGCAAATATGTTCCCTAACTGAAGGTACTGAAGATGTACCCTTGAGGGTACCACCCCAGTGACAAGAGGGGTACTGGCCCAGTGACAGTTTAGTACCTTTTTTTCCTGAGTCTTCTCTTCTCTTCTCTTCTCTTCTCTTCTCTTCTCTTCTCTTCTCTTCTCTTCTCTTCTCTTCACTTCTCTTCTCTTCTCTTCTCTTCTCTTCTCTTCACTTCTCTTATTGTGACTGCCCTCTCTGTTCTCTCCTCAAGCAGGTGGCCATCCCAATAGTTTCTGTGCGGCTGGTAAAGAAGCACAAGACAGCTGGACTGGTCCCCAATGGCCTGGCTATCACTACAGACAGCAGCCAAAAGGTGGGTCAGCACTGGCGCTGCAAATCAGCCTGGGGATACTGGACTCTATCAACATACATGAGCACTGCAGAACTGCAGTCATGCCAGTGCTGGGCTCCACTGTGACCCATAGAGAGCCTCAAGGTTGTAGAGTGAACTCAGTTTGACTTCCCTTTGTGCTTCACACACCTGCCAGTGTGCTTAGCAAGAGACTAGCGAAAGCCAAGTAGCTGCGTGGGACTATTTATGGAAATGATAGCAGGTTTTTTGTGATGAGTCATATATTCTGGTTGGCTGTTGTCCAGTGCCGAGCCCTTAATCCTTTCTCTTTTCTGTATGTGTCTCTCCTGATAAGCTGACGTGATTTGTACCTACGGCATTGTTGAGTTTGCCTTTGTTGCAGCTTCAGTAAGTCTGTATTGCTTGGGAGACGTCCTGGGCCGATATAAACAAAACCTTGACATGCGGGAGCGCTGACTATCATAGTAGTCTATCTGTCACAGCACAGTTACTCACTCACTGCTCATCCCAGAGGTTCTTGTGGTGAAATGTAAAGAAGTGGAAATGGTAGATTAGGACTCAGTATGAAACCCGAAATAACAGTTTGTTCTCAGTGTGCTCTGTTTTAATCTTTTAAGCCTCACACCGCCAGCTGTTCTGTGCAGTCACTGAAAATATACTTTTCCTAGTAATAAGATTATTAATAACTGTATTGCAGGATTATGGGCGTCCTGCTCCTCTCTCTCTGGTTACTGTCTTTTTTATATGCTGGGTGTTTCGATACACACATCAAAATGATTGTTTTTGACAAATACAATATGCAGTGTGAATCAAAATCAAGCTAGATTTAATGTTATAAAATAATTTATATGTTTAAGACGCACTAACATAAATAAGGATAGTTTCCACTGTTCTATTAAACACTACAACAGTGGTGTTTAAACTGTGGGTTGCAGCTCACTGGTGGGTCACACTGTGCAGACGAGAGGGTCAAAAGGAAACCGCATCAATATTTATTTTAGTTTATTTTTCCAACATGACAGGGCTAAATGAAAGACATTATAGATCAGAGGGGTGAGCTGTGCCATTTCTGAACCGTCTTACTTCTGCTTGAAAAGCTCCTGTATTAACAGGGTCCTAATGTAAAGATCATGCATGCACAAAGTGAGGTTATATTTTCCATGTAGAGTTCCATATGTGCTTATCTTAGTTTATGCTCTTGATATTTTATGTTTTACACAGCATGCATCAGGCTAACATATAGACTAACCACAGTTAAGTAATCCTAATGCAAAGATATAGAATTATTCGTTTTTAATGCTGAAGTATTAAACAGATATTCAGAATCAGTGGAATGGATTGTATCTGAATTCAGAATAAGTAAGTGTTGTCATTATTATTTTCCGGGCCAAAGTGCTGTGGAGCATTTACCCTCAACTAATGCTCTGAATTCAGTTTGTGAAGTCCATGCTAATTAGTTGATGAGCTGAATTGTGATGTGTTTAATGAGGCAGTGTGCTGAAGTCTGCAGTGTTTTGGCCTCAGAGGCCTGTAGCGTGACACATGTGATGTACCCCAGTGCATGTTTCATTCTTTTATCGTGGTATGCTATTGTGCTTGTTCGAATGATCAGTAATGCTGAGTAAATGTGGGCTGAAAACATAGGGACTTAAGAACATTTTTGACAAGTTTATGTCTTATTTCATTAAAAAAAAAACATTTGGTGGGAACGTCTGCTCTATGTGCTGCACATGAAACAGTTTTATACTTACAGTTTGTTTGTATTCTGAAAACAATGAAGTGTTTCTGTTAATTATAGTCTCGCCAGGCCCTGTGGTCTTGTTTTCTGGCAATTGGGAAATTGATTGGAATTTTAATTGAAAAATTTAAAAGCAAATTGGATGTTTCCATTTCTTTTTTTACTTATTTATCGAAACTGTATCACACACAATACATATTGTATCATGAAATGTGTGTATCGTTATGCCTGTAAGACATACACATACAGTATACTGAATAACTACACATATGAGCCCTGCTTTCTCTCCCGGTCTGTGTCTGGCAATAGTACTGATGTTCTCTCTCTGTCTTCTTTCCCTCAGTATGTATTTGTATCTCTGCTGTCCAGGGACAGCGTGTACGACGTGCTGAGGCGGATCTGCACACATCTACAGGTGAGACGACATCGCTTCTCCCCTGGCGACTGACACAATTATGTATAGCATATCATATGCACTCCTCAGAGAGGTAGAGACTGGATTTGTGTACAGTAAAAACTGCCTGGCTTGCTTGTTTAGCATTTCACCGTTTCTGATGTCTTACCTCATTAAGGTCAATGGCAAGAAGAGCCTCAGCCTCAAACAGTACATGGAAGAGCCCACCTCCTTGTCTCTGGTAAGCCCTCTCTTGGTACAGCCTTGGAACACTGTAACCCTTTCCTACCGTAATGTGGATTCATTTATGCCCAGTATCTACAACAGAAACCAGAAACCAAAGTAAGGCACTAATTGAGCTGGTTTAGTTTTGCCAGGGGAGATTCTGTAGTATAATTTGTAAGGGATTTGACTCCCTGAGTCATATGGGATAAAAATGTCTCTGTTAGGCTACCGGTCACCTAACGAAATATGCATTTTTCCTAATCTTAAAAACATTGTGACCTAAATTTTTAAAAAATGTAAAAACAAAAATAATAATAATTTACATGATGCAAACAGTCTGTGATTGGCTGGCGATGTGTGTGTGTGTGTGTGTGTGTGTATGTGTATGTGTGTGTGTTTGTGTTTGTGTATGTGTGTGGATATGTGTGTGTTTGTGTATGTGTGTGGATATGTGTGTGTTTGTGTGTGTGTGTGTGTATATGTGTGTATATATGTGTGTTTGTGTTTGTTTGTGTGAGTGTGTGTGTGTGTATGCGTGCGTGTGTGTGTAAATGTGTGTAAATGTGTGTATATGTGTGTGTTTGTGTTTGTTTGTGTGAGTGTGTGTGTGTGTGTGTATATATGTGTGTATATGTGTTTGTGTGTGTGTGTGTGTGTGTGTATGTGTGTGTGTGTGTGTGTGTGTGATGCAAACAGTGGAAACCAATAGGATTGTGCTTATTAAAAGCTGTGAATTGAGACTTTGTTCCATCATTAAATGTTAATGATGCAGCTGCTGTGGATCATGAGCCGTGACCCTTCCGTGGGTCATGTAAATAAAACACTGTCTCATTTAGTCCTCTCTCTCTCTCTCTCTCTCTCACTCTCTCACTCTCTCACTCTCTCTCTTTCTCTCATTCCATTCTGCGTTTGTGTCTGTCTGTGTTTCTGTGTTCTCTGTGTGTGTCTCCACTCTGACCCTTGTCAGGATGAGTTCCCTGTCCCTGATGAGTACCCTGTGACTGTAGATGAGTTCACTCCAGTGCTGAAGTGGAGGAGGAAGCCTTCAGTGGCATCCGTCTCCTCTTCCCTGCCCGACCTACTGGGCAATTCCACCAGCAGCCTCAGTGCTGTGGACACTCCTTTTCAGCCCGAAGAGCCTCTAGAGGGTGAGCAATACTGCAACATATCACATACTAATCGGGGTGGGCAATATGACAGTATCGCCATTACTGTGTGTTATAAAAAAGACAGATTTAGATCAATTACAGGGAGCGTGTAAAAAAAATGACGAACAGTGGACAGTTACTGCATAGACTGCATAATAAGAACTGACTGTCAGTGCACTACCCATTATCGTTTTATTAATTTTATATAAATCTTTATTTCTATTAATTTATATTCATGTTTTTTAATTAATGGTAAGTAGTGCAGACATGTAATAAACATATATGTATATATATATATATATATATTGCTGTTGTCTGAACAAAACCTTGTATCTCCATTTTTGTTGTTTTCAGTTTTTGACATAATTTGAAAAACCTGTTGCCCTTTACATTGTGTACAAATTTCATGATGAATACACATGAAAATAAATGACCCAAAATGACTTGGAAAAAAGTCTGATTCCTTTGACTTACATTAATAGTAAAGTAGTTTTTTTTTCCTTCTCCTGTAAAGGTATCAGTTTGGAGATACAAGGTTTTCTTCTTACAGCAGTTAAATAAACATTGTGCTTATAGTTTTTAATAGCATTTTTAAAATGCTAAAATAAATAAATAACCTCATTTGCTGGTGCATTTAATCCTTTCCAACCTCAAAAAAGAAATATAAAATAATACTAATACATTATGGTGGGGATATAATTCAGTACTTTTACATTACCAACCGAATTACATCAATACATATCACCCACTCTTAATACAAGCACACACGTTTACAATGTCCTTCAGTAAATGAAAAGAGGTCTTTTTAGAGTCCTAATTGTCCTCAGAACCAGTGCCAGGGTGTCCTGAGTCTAGTGAATGATTGGAGTGAATCCAATTGGTCAACGGAAAAAACAGCTCAGCTATCAACAGTAAATCTTTTCTAGAAGCACCTATATGGTTTGATTCTTAGAAAAGTGCTTGTATTTGAAGCTGTGCTTCTGCTTATTAAGAAGGATTGTTGCAGTTTAGTGGTGGCAGATTTAGCCAAGGGTTTCTTTTATTTTTGCAGGTACAAAGAAGAAAAGAGAGCATGTCTTTGCAACAGCAGTTCTATTCATGCAGTTTTGCAGTGCACGCATAAATATAAAAGACTTTGGGCTTTCAAGGTGCAACACTATACTAGTGATCAAGAGATAATTGAACAATTGATTTGCATTTTCCTAGTGACACAGCACTGCTCATTTGCAGTTTTCTCAGTTGCTGAAACCTGAATAATCAAATCGACTTCTAAACCCCAAAAGAGTCCTTTGCATAACTTCCAAAAAACATTTGTTTTGTTGATTTTCTAAGTAGAAAACAAAGGTTTGCATCTTCTATAGGGAACAGACTCTATTGTCTTGTGCATGTTTTAAAGTACAGTTACTGCTGAATTTAACATATTAGGGCAAAAATAAACGTGATATGCGGCCTGTGCAAAAGTTATGGCACATGCATTACAATTTGCAAAAAATACCTTATTCAGGTTTGTTCACTCTACTGGATTTTCACTTTAAAACAAAACATGACATTTCCTGGGGGTGTTCAGAATTTGACCGTATGTTGTGTATGCAAGCTAATACTCCACTGCATTTAATTAACATCCTAAGATTGGTGACCTCACAAAAATACCCCACAAACCAGCGTGTTTTGTAGAGTGTGTTAATTAAACAGGCTGTAGTTTGAGTAGCCAGTGTTATATTGTAGTGTTGATATAATGTATAGTTAAATTTGTAGCCTCACTTTCACATAATCTAGTGACGTCCAATAAATGAGTCCGGTAATATTTCTGTTTAGTTTGCTTAATTACCTCTTAATTCATAGAATTATTTGTAACTTTGGGAGTGGGAGAGGTGAACATAGGACAAAACAAGGAAAGAGGAACTCGCTTTTCTCTATGGGGATAAATAAATGGCATTTTTAAAAACCGCCACTGTCACACAATGATAAACAAAACCTTTCCAAAGGAAAAAAAACAGACACAGAGTTTCTTGTTTGGGTATGTTTATGACTACAAAATGAGACATGACCACAGAGATCTGTCAGGGTCAGTATCGAATATTGTTAAACCACAGTCCACAACAACAAACAATACCTAGAACTATACCATGGATGGATGGATGGATGGATGGATTGTAATTGCAATTACAACAATTACATTTCTGGTACAGTATTGAGTTGAGAGCAACAGTGTCCACAAGAGGGCAGTTGGTTGGTCTGAGAGCAGACAGTGTTAATGTTTTTTTTTTCATGGTTAGAATGATCAGATGGTAATATGTACTGATGAATATACATTCATGGGCAGATGAATAATATATGGAAGCTTTTATTCCTCACTGAACTGATTAGTCCAGTCATCAGTTGATGTCTGCTTAGTACACACATGAGCCTGGGTAAATCCACAGTGTGTGGGGGGAATGGAGGCCGGCCTCATTTGGTTGAGCTCACTTATGTAATATGGGATTAAAGAGAGAGTGATTTCAGAATGGATGGTACTTTAAAACACGAAACAACCCTGCCTTTCATAGGTTTAAACTGTCCCAAATTTAGACTGATTCTTAGTTTATTGCTTTGTTTGTTATTTGCTTGAATATTTTTCAAAAATTCAGTTCAAAATTTATTCATATAGTGCTTTTTACAGCGATTGATCACAAAGCAGGAGAACCCATGATTTCCTGGTGAACACCAGATAGCAAAACAATAACACAACAAAATAAGCAATATGTATAAAGAGTAAAGATTTGAAAATGAATATTCAGTAGAGAATGTGGAGTAAAGAAAAGAGAGAGTGAGCCTGACGGTGGACGGGAGTATTTAGATGGACTAATGACCACTGTTAGAAACCTATCAGAGTAACAACTGAGAAGTAGATATATGACAACAGGGCTTTATATGTAGGAGTTGTAGCAGTTTTAACTTAATGCACTGTGAGACAGGTAGGCAGTATACCTGACAAACAATTGGGGTGATATGAGCAGATTTTTAGAATGAGGAAGAATTATAGCAGATGAGTTTGAGATATATTGTACAGGATGTAACAGTAAAGGGAATATAGTGGTGCAAAAAAGAATGACAATAAAGATAGAGTACAATAGTCAAGGCAGGAGGATACCGTTGCTGTCCAAAGAAAAACATGCATCTCCATTTTTTGTGATTTTTCTCTTTTTTTACATCATTTGAGCACAGCAGCTGTTCTTCACATTGTGTGAAAATTTCATGATGAATGGACCAATAAAAATGCACCAAAACTGCTTAGAAAAAAATGTCTTTCCATTGACTTACGTTAAAAGTATAGAACGTTTTTGCCATCTCTTGTAAAGTGACTATTTTGGAGATACATGTTTTTAGTAGACAGCGACAATATGTAAACATTACCAATAATATTTCTTAATCATAATGCTTTCTTCAGTATTTCAAGAGCTCTGGGCAGTTGTGTACTAAATGAGAATAAAATTTAGACCAGAGATTTAGAGAGACTGTAAACAACAACTAGTGGGCAGACCGTCAAATGAAACTGCAAAATAAGACATTAGCCCAATTTAGCCCATTCATTTTTCAGAAAAACTAAATAATGTGATGGATATTGTGTATCATGAAGATGTTTTCAAGTATCACCCACCCCTAGTTGTAATCCTAGATGTACATATGTAATAATTACTTATGCTGATGTATTCTGTCTTCATCGCATGCTGTGTTCTATGTGTTGTTTGTGTAGAGAGAGGACTAGAGGCTGAGAAGATCCTCCTCACAGAGCCAGTACCTGAACTGGGCCAGATGGAGTACCAGCTGCTGAAGTTCTTCATCCTGCTGTGAGTTTGGCTCAGCCTCTCTGTGTTTGTGCCCACGCAAACTAATTATACGCTTTTGTCATCCATTTTAGCAAATATAAAGTACTTCGCAAATACCTGATCACACATTATCATCGTAGGAGGTTATGCTTTGCATGCATGTGAGCCATTATTACTTATTGTTGCATAATACCTCATAAGCTTTTAAAGGGTCTCTGAAGATTTGGTGCACAGTTTTAAAGCATTTTGTGTTTTTCAGTGCTGCCATCTAGTGCACACAAGTAGCACTTCACGTCAACATGCATGTTAAGGATAGATATTTGGACAGTCATTTTATTTAATAATAACTTACTTAAATAAATACAGCATAGATGGAAATATTATTAGACACCAGAAGCTCTTTTTAGATGCTTTATTTAGTATTTCTTATTTTTCTTCATCTTCCTACAGATTATCTGAAACCTTTGAGTACTAGTACTGTATTAGAATATTTTATGCATGTATTTATACTATTGAAAATGGCAATTCCACACTTTTGAATGATAGTGTAGTGTCAAGATAATGTATTTATCAATTTGCTGTTTTTCAGGGAGTCTATATGCACTTTTAAATTTCCAGATTGTCATCGGTCTCTTATTAATATGTGTATTGTATGTAATTATTCTGTATATGACTGTCCTGTTGTTCTGTTCTGCAGAATTATCCTCCTCATCCTGTCCTCCTGTTACCTGGCGTTCCGTGTGTGTAGTCTGGAACAGCAGCTGTCTTTCCTCAACAGCAACACAGCACTTCCCCTGAGGGAGAGGTGAGAGACCACCACATCACCTCGCACACACTCACACCTAGGTCATTTCTAGGTCAATAACAATAATAACAGTAATAAACAACACCTTGTGAGTGTGCATATAAGCGTTTAAAATCAGATCCTTGTTTTATTTATACAGCCATGACATAAATCAGACATGAACATCTGCATATTTAGCAGATGCTTTTATACTGAGCGAATTATGGTGGTAAGTGAATTTAATTAACTTATATTGATACATTTTTTATTAACTTATATAGATACATTTCTGTCTGGATGGAGAATCAAACCTTAAGTCTTCCATATGTGAGGCTTGTTATCCACTATGCTGTCCATTTTAGTGAGTTTGAAAGAAACCGTATTGCCCACTGTAAATGCTTTGTTGATGCTTACCTTGCATTTAATCTTAATATCTGTTAAATTCACCTTAATTTTCACTAACCTTAAACCTTGCCCTAACCCTAGTCTTAACTTCAACTGAAAACATAATCCTAACTCTAACCTGTTTCCAAAATCTAAAGTCTAGTCCCAACACTGTTGAGAAACTTTGAGTTTGGCAATTTGGTAGCTAATCAACTGGGGGCTTTTCAAATTGAAGTGAACAGTGAAACCAATTCACTTAACCCTTGTGCGGTGTTGATGTTTTTGTTACTAAGTGGTCTAGTGGACTCATTGCATGATTGTTTTTATTGTTAAATAAATAAAGTCATAACAATTTATGTAAAAATACCAGATGTTTAACATATCACAAGTGGCCAGCTTAGGGTTCTCCTTTAGCAGCTGTAGCCAGTCAGCAGCCTGTCCATGTTGTAGACCCTTACAAACACACACACAAACACACACACACACACACACACACACACACACACACACACTAACACCAGCCCATGTAGGAGGAGAACAGAGTGAAGGACACAGCACCTCCACACTTTTATTCCCCGTGGGTTCACCCAACACCACATGTGTAATTTAAATGTGTGGGGGGTGAACAGAGGGAAGACACTGAAAATGGGTTATTTTATATGTTCTTCACAGAAAATGAGCAAAGAACACAGAATCTGGGGTTGAAATAATAATAAATTGCATAATTTTTTCTTTTGGTAAACATTGAAAATGGGTCCCTCAGCACTACACAAGGGTTAAAGAAGCACTATTTACTATACAGCTTTATAACTAACATATGACCAATGTAGTTTAAACCCCTATTTGGTACACATGCTTTTTGCCAGGTAGGAGAAAATATGTTTTTTATTCTTTTATGTTTCTCAAAAAGCCCAAAAAAGAAGCAGCTGACCCTTTCTAATTATGGCCCGTAAAGGGCAGTTGCACCTATTTGGTAAATCATAACACTCACTTTTTAAACAGTTATAAATATTGGCTATTATTGGCTATAAAGAAGTTTATTATTTATAGACGAAAATAGTAATAACCTACACTCACTGTCTGTTTACACAGGTAACTGTGGCTGAAAGGACAACTTTCCCTGCACTGGTCACTGAAGACTATGCAAACTGACTCTTATTTATTGCTGTAGTGAAACAGAGCCACAGACCCCTTGGATTGTGGGGTTGTTTAAAAGACTGAATGAAGACAGTAGGTAGGACAGCAAACACTGATGCAAGCCATTCTGTGCTGCTGGACAGCAGAGGACATGAAGACACAGTGCTGGACACAGAATATTGGACTGTGGTCACTTAATGCACAAAATGGCATCAGTTTCCCCTAATAGGAGCCACTGGTCAGAGCACATTTCATTTGTTTTAAAGGACTTACAAGCAATACAAGATAAAAAATTTTGTGCAGGAAGATTATCAGATTTAACTGCATATACAAAAGAATTAGCGAAGACAGAATGTTTGTGCTCTGATCTGTTAAAGTAAGCAATGTTACAAATGAAGGCAGTTAATCTGCTCACTCAGCCACATGTATTTATGTTTGTATGTTAATCTTTAATCTTAACTGCTGTCTACAGAGTTATTACCGACACGCCATATCGATATGCAAATTACATGTGGATCACACTAGTATGAGTTAAGAAGGTATTTCAAATAAGCAAATATGTTTTGCCCTTTATCTGCAAAGAGCTGGACTTTTTATAATATCCTCAAGTTGTAGCTTAATTGTGCTAAATCACTTTTTCTCAGGACACATATTACAATTAATATTTTTAACTACAGCAATAGCAAAGATCTTTCATCAGCCACATTTACAGCGGTCAGCAGTATGATGCTGAAACCTGACGTTACATATATACCAGAGTCAGTAAGACGCAAAAACACTGAGTTCATCTTTGTAGCAAGAAAAAACACAGACTTTCTTATGCAGTTTTCATTTTCTTTCCAGCAGTTGTCATTGTACTGTGCTGTTTTCCGGTAAATATGTAAACAGTCCTAATCTTGCTCATTTCACACTGTTTAACTGTAACTGTTGACCCTGCACATCATATAAACTGTGTATGGATTTCATATCAACAAATAGAATGTGTAGTAAGCCATACATGAGGCACAGCTGTGCTGTTTTCAGGGCTTAGACTATAAAAGGATGTCATTTTGCACCTCTGACATAGATGAGTGATGTCAGAAACCAACCAAGCTGAAACATTTTGAGGGTTAAATTTAACTCTGATGAAAAATCAAAGACGATATTTGAACAGATCCTCCACAGCCGTTAAACCTTCCCACCAACGCTCTTATGCTTATATAAAGGCTGTTCTCTGTTAAAAAAGTAGTTATTAAGAGCTTAAAACTGGAATATGTGAAGTTTAAGTTGTTTTTTTTCTGTGAATGAATACATTTCCAAGAAATGAAAACTGGTGAAGTATCCTCTTCGGTCTCAGTAGTGTTCTTCCGGCTCGGACTAGTTAAGCTGAATGTGAGTTGTTAAACAGTCTGAACCACTGTGTAATAAATATTTGATGAGAAAAAAAGCTGTCCACTGTGAAAAATAGAGAAATAAGCAGTCAGATCAGGATTGCTCAGCCTTATCAACCAAAAAGCAGCAAAGCAGTGCAAGGCAGTGTTTGACCAAGCTTGTTTTTAATGACAGCTGACCTTTTTCTTTGATTTAGATTGTGGAATGAGTTCTAACTTATTTTTCATTTATTGTCAAAATTCATCACCACATACTGTACTGTGCAAATGTCAGAGACCACCCTTAATTTTTTAATTTACAGTCATATCAGCCAATTTATTGATGCTTCTGAGGAGATTAGATCTCTATTAAAAAAGTTAAAAGTTAAAAGAATAAAAAATATTAAAAGACATAAAGAAAATGGGACTCCTAAAAATCATGGAAGGATGACCTGGTAGACACCAAAACTGCCCCCCTCAGATAAACAGCACTTAAAGCTTTCATCTTTGAGAGAGAGGAGAAAATCAAGCTGCTTCAGATCTGAAAACATCCACAGGTGTTTCTGTCCATCCTTCCACTGTGAGAAGACGACTCAGCGCTGTGGGTCTGAAAGGATGTGTAGCTGTCAAGAAGCTCTTACTGAGAACAAGGAAAGAAAATCTACAAATCAAAACAAAGAAGATAAATGAGTTCTCAGAACAAACTGACCAGTCCAGTCCAGTCCAGATCTCAACATCACTGAATGTGTTTGGGAGAAAATGCAACCAACTTCTAAGACTGAACTTAGGAGGTGTGGAAAAATAGTGAAAAACTGAAAGCAAGAATGGAAGCTGTAATAAAGGCAGACACAGAAGGATACACACAGAAAATACTGAAAATTTTGATATTATACTTATTTGTTTTTGTGTATAATTTTCTGTTGAATACGTTTTCTGATTTTTTCCTGATGTTGGAAATGAAAAACTTGTATTTGTGGCCATTTTGACAAGAAACTAAATAAATGAAGGGTCGTCTCTGACTGAATAGGTAAACTCATTCAAGCACAGTCTGGCTGATCTGTCTTTGAAAAGAGCAAATAATTCAGAAATTAATGTAATGTTGATTAAAATAGACTCAGCAAAACTGATGATACCACATCACTATGGATGCACATATGATCATGTTTGTCCGTGGCTTGTGCTTTTCACTTCGTTTTTTTATTGTTGACTTGTTTTATTCATAGCTCATCACAGCTACAGAATTAGTGAAGACTGGATATATTTCTGCATGTAAGCAGAGAGTTGTTAGAGTGTAGCACTATGTACTGGGAAAATGGTCAATAAGCAGATTGCTGTTCTTGGCACAGCAGTTAAGAAACCATGAACAGAAGCTGATTCACCAAATAGTCAAATTAAAGCAATAGTTCAACTATTTTCTCTTGCAGCAAATATATTCAGCCAGCTAAGACATGCTTGGTGTCCACAGTTTGCTCCTTTAGTTTTGCTGTATAAAGGCTAACAGGTAATGGTAATTAGCACTGTGCAAGCTGCATGCCTAAATCATCACACAGTTACCTTGACCAATGTTGAATTGTTAAGTAATCTCAAATAGACTTGCTGATGTGGTTTTTGACGCTGTGTGATGAACTGTTATCTATAAAAATGTACAAAAACGTGGGATAATTCGGCTGTGCTGTTTTGGCAGTGCTAACATGGTGGTTATGAGTTTTCTTTACATTAGCCTTGTAGCTCCTGTGCTAACATAAGCAAACTTTAGACACCAAACATGAGAACAGATACATTTAGGGTGAGGGAAAAATCACATACATTTCTTTTTTGGCTGAACCGTTACCTTAAAGTCAACCTTAAATCTATTTTTTTTAGCTTTTTACCTTGTCAGTTTATGTCTCTGGTCCTATTAAGCACAATTTGTCATTTAAATCATTAAATAATTTATTAAGACAAATTTCTTGTAAAGTTTTATCAAAATTTAGTGACTTTTGCCTGCCTCTAAAACGTCTTTTCAGTTTTGATTACATCAGCAGGCATTAACCACTGTCGCATATCATGAGAGAAAACATTTAGCTACCCCCCTCTGAGAAACAGTACTAAAGGGTAATGTGCGATGATTTCTGATTCACGTTGACTGAATCCCATTTCTTATTTTTACCCCTACCCCTTGTTTTCGAGTGTCAGTTTGCCCCTTGGAACTGAGTTATAAGGGGTAGTGGTTGAAACCTTCCCTACGAAATGGGACCCTCAAATAAAGAAGAACATTACTTCATTAACAGCTACTAGCGCTGCTCTGTAGGCGACCCTGCCAGTCTGCAGTGACAGCAGAGGAGGGTAAAGTTCAGCTCCTCACTGCTGGGCTTTAGTTACATTTAGGGCATCATATGCCTCCAAAGAGGGGGGTGAGACAATTATTTATTACCCACCCCTAATTCTTCAGTGATATGAAGCTGAAGTCAGATAATTGCCAGCTTCTTGTTAGAATTTTCTTGTTCCACCTTACATGGAGCAGCAGTTACATGTTGGCACTTCAGGTGTCAGAACTGCTGGACTATTTAAGGTGCAACGGGAAATGTAGCTAGCTAGCTACCGAGACATCAGCATACTACTAGGGATTTTTTTATGCTTGTTATAAAGAAAAGGATCATAATACATTGAAACGATATTAAACTAAGATAATACAGTGGTTATCGGCGTTTCTTTGGTCACTCGCACAGTCACCTTGCCTTTTTTTTTTTTCTCATAGCAGTCCCTTTGGAGTGAGTGTCCATTTGGAGGGCCATGTAGCCTTAACACTTCACCCTACCCTTCTATTTCAGCAAAAAATCGGGACACCCTACCCTTAGACGTGAACAAAAGGAGGGGTAAGGGCTAAGTGGTAGGGGTGAGGGGTTTAAATGGGATTGGGCCTGAGTTACAGCATACGTGACCGTGTGTGTTACATCACGTAATGATGAAATAAGAGCCCAAAGTATAATTTAAGGCTCCGAAAATCAACCGTGAAGAGAAAACGTTTTCCTCCCTGATTGATGATGTTGACCTCTATACTGTCAATAAAGTACACTATCATACAATCATATATTTTGTATAAAACATGAGCATTTCATCACTACCACAACAAAAGTGTTGGGACTGCTGAAAATCATAAATTAACAGGAAAAAAAAAACATTCTTAACTTTGCATAGAAGTTAATGGAATAGGATTTTATTCCAAGTCATTTTGGAGCATTTCTATTGGTCGTTGTGAAATTTCAACCCATTTTAAAATCCTGGCTTTTTTTTATTCTGTAAAATAACAAAAAATGACAAAACAGTTACAGGGTTTTGTTTCGACAGTGACCCGTTCAGTGTGTTAAAAGAATAGTTTGTGATTACTTAACTCACTGCACATGAGGAAAACAGTTGACTGCTTCTGTAATTGCTGTTCTCCATGCCATCCATAATGGTGTCTGTTCTGCTGCCTCCTTAGGCCGGATCGTTTCCCTCAGGACATGCACACGGCTTCCTGGCTGCAGTCGACTTAATGGACTTCAGAGAGACTGAATGAATTATTCATAAATAATTCCCTGGTCAGACTTTTGAAGGAGCTCTGGCGTGGCAGCGGCTCCAGGAAACACTCTGTTTCTCTAGCAAATTGTAGAAGGGTTTAAGTGTTGCTTAAGGTAGAAAGATGTGCGGTCTAATATAACACTCGAGCTCTGCGGCGCGGAGCGCCTTTTCACTCTCCTGTGGTCAGAATGATCTTTCGAGTTATTTTCAGCAGGCCGTTTTTCATGTTGATCGCAGTGGCACAGTGGAAATACGCCTCTGACGAAAAGTGCTTTCTTTATCCTCCGTCTCGGTCGTCGTTCTTCTTGGTTATATTAGAGTAGAACAGCAGTAGCAGGGCGTGTGTCAGTCACTTAGAGCGGTCAGAGTCTAGACTGGCTTCTGCTCATTGATCCATAAAGCCCAGGGGAGCTCAGTGGACTTCTGCCGTGTTCTGGACTCAGCTGCTGGTGGATTATGGATGAGCAGGACCAATTAAGGTCTGCCTCAGTATGTAGTGTTCAGACACCCAGTTAGAGCATACATTCAACAGAGAACGCAAACACAGTTATAGTGGCTATTTCAGTCTCAGTCAGCTTTTTCAACCTAATCTACTGCATCTGCAGTGAATTAATAATGTAGACGATTCCCTGCACTGAACTGAAGCTCATTCCCACATTGCCTTCTATTATGTTCTGAGGCAACAGAGTTTCTGCTCTTTTCTAAGTACAAACAAACGTGTCCAAAATCATTACTGTATACTACAGATGCAGCAAGTAGAGACCAGGTTGAAAAACACAGGAGTATTTTATTAAATAGGGCTCTGTGTTGCCTTTTAAATGGACTTTTCTTGATCAAAGTAAAGGTGGGACCTACCTAAAACTGCAGTTCCCCTCCCTGACACCTAGAGGAGACAGATACCACCAGTCTCAAAAGCTCAGTACTCCCAGACTGGAGAGTTTAAAGCTCCCTCAAAGAAAGATATTATATGTAATGGTCACAGTTGTGTTGCCTGAGGCCTTTTTGACATAGATTGAAAATGCCTGTTGTCATTTACCTTGTGTGTAAATTTCAAGATGAATGGACCAAAAGAAACCAAAATGACTTGAAAAAAATTCTGGTTCTATTGACTTACATTAAAAGTAAAGTTTGTTTTTTCCTTCTCCTGTGTAGTTACCATTTTGGAGATACAAGGTTTTGTTCCGACAGCAGCGACATGCTTCAGTGTAGTCAAAGCCTAGACGCAGTCCATGGGTGTGTCCCAAAAACTAGGCAGCTCTCTTAGTAGCCACTGTCTACATAGGCAGCTGTCTAAGTAGGCAGCATTCCAACCATCATCTATCCTTTTAAGACAGATAAATGAGATGCTCTGGTTAGACAGCAATGACATCGCCACTGGTTTTAGAACGTTAGCCAGCAAGTTTGTTAGCCAGCTGGCTATTCAAAATAATAGCCTCAGGCTTCAAAATCCACTGGCATGCATGCTAACAGTGTTCTGAAAACTGTACAGTGGTCACTGACGGACCTAAATTGCAAACTATTTGTGCACCTTTGCGACAAGAAATATTACAAAATAAATTATTCACAAAAAATGATGTTTTATTCAACATTTCAAGAATTCTGTGACTAAGAAGTGAATAAAATGATAATTATAAGCCATAAAGATTTATTTACACAAACGTTTTATAAAGTTACCTGATTTGATCTCCACTTTTGAAATAGGATGAATTCTGGTTTGTATTTTTATTATAACTTCATTCTCAATGTTGTACGACTATGGCTCCGATCATCATTCTGGACACATCTTAAAATGTCTGAATTATCTTAATCTCCCATAAATTATTTGAAACCTTTGAAGTTGGACAGAACTAACATATTAGAATAACTTCAT